CGGCCACTGCACTCCAGCCTGGGCGACCCAGCGAGACTCCGTCTCAAAAAAAAAAAAATAATAATAATAATAATAAATAAATAAAAAACTAACCAGGGCTGGGCATGGTGGTTCACACCTGTCATCCCAGCACTTTGGGAGGCCGAGGTGAGTGGATCACCTGAGGTCAGGAGTCCGAGACCAGCCTGGTCAATATGGTAAAACCCCATCTCTACTAAAAATACAAAAATTAGCTGGGCATGGTGGTGGGCACCTGTAGTCCCAGAAACAAAAACAAAAATCTAACTGGGTATGATGGCTCACGCATGTAGGCTCAGCACTTTGGAAGGCTGAGGCAGGAGGATCACTTGAGCCCAGGAGTTTGAGATCAGCCTAGGCAACATGGCGAGACCCTATCTCTACAAAAAAATACAAAAATTACCTGAGTAGGGTGGCGCACACTTGTAGTCCCAGCTACTCAGGAGGCTGAGGTGGGAGGATTGCTTGAGCCCAGGAGTTAAGGCTGCAGTGAGCTGTGATCACACCACTACATTCCGGCTTGGGCAACAGAGCAAGACCCTGTCTCAAATAAAGAAAACCATCCACAGGTAGCCGCAGCCCCCCAAGCTGACCCTGACCCTGTTGAAGTGGGGGCTACTGGATAACAGAGAACATGAAGAAAGAGCCCAGGCGTGGGTGGTCACACTGCCATCCCAGAGGCCAAGAGGACACAGCTCTGGGAAGCCCCGTGCTTCTCGGACTGAACACCCAATTGGTCTCCTGCCCTCACCAGGGGGACGAGGGAGGCATCCGGCAGCCAACACCTGGAGGATATTGTGCAAAACCCATCACCAACTTCCGGCACCCAGGTCCCCAAATCCAGCCTGCCACCTCTCCCAGCAGGCAAGGAAGAACAAGCTGAGGGGCAGCCGAGAAATGAGCCGTTTCCTTCCCCCTGCCATCTCCCCAGGCTGGAACCCAACACCACGTCTGTGGCCAGATTCTGGCTGGAGTCCCGAGAAAGAGTTCTAAGAACCTTTCAACAGGTTCAGGCAAATTTTCTTTAGAGAACAAACCAAAGCATCGTCCTAGAGCGACACGAAGCTGAGAAATTTGCATCTCATCAGCCGGACACGGCTCAGCCTTTCACAAGTCTAATTCAACACATTCAAAAAATGGCCTCACTGCTTCTCTGCAATTCAGCCATGCACCAAGTTTGAAAATATCAGACCGAAGCCGAAACCTTCACCCTAACTTCACCAGGCACTCCCAGACAAGCGACGTGTGGAGATTTCTGGCCTGAAAGAAAACTGGTTATGCGGACTCCAAGAATCAAGGAGCAGTGCGGCCAGAGAGATAAGCTGTGTGCAATCAGCAGGCTTCCCGCCCGGGACGCGGGCTCAGCAGGTTTGCCAGATAATCAGAAAAACCAAAATTAGAAGCAGGAGCAAAAGCATGGATAAGAAGTTGATGTTCAACCCACAATCCTGACCCTTCACCTTCACTTTGGTTTAGAGGAGCAACTTGTCAAGTCTCCCCAGGGCTTAAAACACCGACTCAGCACCACACTGGCACAGTCACTGGGACTCCTCCCACTTAGACAGAGGAAGAAGCCAAGGTTGAGGCAGGAATGAAGGGACCAGACCCAATTCTGCCAAAACCACACTATCAATTAAATCCGTGGACAGTCTATGAAAAAAAAAAAAAAAACCACCTAGAATCTGACCTTCCCGACACCATGGTGGGTGAAAAAAAAAAAAAAAAACACCTGCCCACAACAGTTCTGTGGTCTGGGTGAGACACTAAAAGCTTTTCTCTGAGGCCAGGTGTGGTGGCTCAAGCCTGTAATCCCAGCACTTTGGGAGGCTGAGGCGGGTGGATCACGAGGTCAAGAGATCAAGGACCATCCTGGCGAACACGGTGAAACCCCGTCTCTACTAAAAATACAAAAAAAATTAGCCGGGTGAGGTGGCAGGCCCCTGTAGTCCCAGCTACTCGGGAGGCTGAGACAGGAGAATGGCGTGAACCTGGGAGGCAGAGCCTGCAGTGAGCCGAGATTGCGCCACTGCACTCCAGCCTGGGCGAAAGAGCCAGACGCCACTCAAAAAAAAAAAAGCTTTATCTGGGGATGATGACTTTTTTCCCTGCTTTTTTTTTTTTTTTTTAAAACCGTGTGTCCAGCCTGAAAGAGCCCACAAGAGAGGGAAGCAGGGAGGGTCACGATCTCTAAGGGAGGAGAGGAAAGGAGAAGCAGCAGCAAACACTCCAACCTGTACCTTTCCGGGACTGGCATTAATCTCCTAACATCTCTTGGGCATAGCAGAAAGCTTGTTCAGGGAACAAGGTCTGACTCTTCCCAACTCCCAAGATTTCTTGCTGATGTGGGGAAAGGCCTGCCAAGAACCCTTAGGCTGTTAGGAAATATTTTTGAGTGGCTAAAGGCTAAAGGTTAGTTATTAATGATATACTTTCTGTCCTCTCCCCGCGGCCTCTGCATTCTCCTGCTTTCTCCTGCCCTGAACCTCTCCAGCTAAGCCTCCCTCCCTAGAGACTGGGACACACAGGAATCTCCGGGGCAGATCAGAGAAGGGAAACAGGGAGGCTTCCACAAAGGATTACACCCAGCATGAGCTGGTCCAAAGCTTTCTCTTCCTGCAAAGAGCTCTAGAAAGAAAAGGCCTGCTGCTGGGGACTCAGGAAGTCAAACCTGGGCTACCTCCATCTATGGGCACTGGAGCACTGGCGAGAGAGATTATGTGAGCTCAGCTATTATCAGTTACCGTTAGGATCAAGGAGAAGACAGAGGGAAACATTGCCTGTTACGGTTGCCTAGGAAGGAGGGTAGGAAGCTAGAGGCTGGGGGCTGCTGTGGCCCTCCTGTGGGGCTGAACCTACTGCCCTGTAGTAATCATGATCCTCCAACAAGGTATGAAGGTGTGAAGGTGTGTGCGTGTTGGATGGTGCAGACGTCATGCAGAGAAGCATCCTCAGCCTGCCTTCGGCAATTCCAGTGGCGAGGCAAAGAGGAGAGGACACGCCTAGCATCACTTTCATAAACGTTCCCTTCTCCTCTTCCCCTTCATCCTCACGGGGTTGGAAAGCCACGGAGATGTCCTCAGAGCCCGTGTCGGGAAATGCCCTTTGGAGAATCACAAGGCAGCAAAAATAGACAAGAAATTGTGTCCAGCAAGCACTTAGGAGACTCCACAACGGCCTGAGGAACGTCTAGATTCTAGATGAACCCTCCCTGGGCTGGAGGCAAGGCCACTTCCTCTCCTGCTGCACCCCCGCCCCTAAATCAGGAGTTCCTCTTTCTCACAAGCAGAGAGCAACATGTTTACTACCAGCCAAGCTATGTTCCAGGAGCGGGGAGGAGAGGAGAGGAGTCCAGCAATGTTCCTAGGGGGTGGAAGGAACACCCTGGACAGCAGGTGGGGCTCTGGGTGGATGGCAGGCCCAGGCTCTGTGGCCTTGCGCAAGACAGAAGATGGCTCTGAACCTCGATGTCTTCATCCACAAAACAGGGGCAATGACAAGTACCCGGCAGGGCTGGGTGAGGATCAGATGGGCCTTTGGATACCGGAGCGGCACTGGGCAATGCAGTGCTGTGGCATGCGAGGTCTTCACCCCCATCCCGCCCCCTCCCAAAGCCCCGGCTCCAGGAGCCCCCCGCAGCCCCAGGCGCCTGTCTCACCTGGCTTGGTACACAGGTAGGAGTAAAAGCCCTCCGACTTGAGCATGATGAGCAGCGAGCCCCAGCCCAGGAGGACTGCCGAGAAGAGGAGGTTCTCCAGCACGGCCGTGCAGGCCATCCACCAGCGGCGGCGATGGGCAGTGGCC